TACTTATTTGAATTTGTGTGTGTGTTGTTGACCAGGACTGCAGCCTAACACACCTCATACAGAACTGCTGAGGTACTGTTTTAAGGATGAGCAATGTTCACAGTAACTGAAGTTGCAACAGGATAGTAAGATAACTTCCCTTAGAAGAAAATAATACATCTTTGACAATATTATTTTTTAAAATTATTTTTCAAGTTTCCGGTTATGTATGTATAAACCATTGAAGGGACATTATCTTCTACATGGTTTTTGATGGCCACTACCTTTAAATGTTATGAATTTTTAAGGCCAGAAGGTATTTCTGCAGCTCCCCAAAGGATACCACTGCTCATCATGCTACTCATCATCTTACAGGCTACTGTGCCCAGTGCAGGGCAGTGCCTTCAGACTGGGTGATTGCATTATAAAGCCAAACTGCTGCGATCCCAGTTGTATTCTCCAAACTTTCAAAAGATAACTATTACTACAATACTTGTTGCTGCAAACACAAGGTCAAAGACAACTGATCTGGAAGCCCACAAGTTGATTTTCAAGTTGTGTTATGTCATTTTCTAGACTGTATAAAGCAAAGACTGAGTAGCTACAAATGTGCACACTCAAAAAAGTACCGAGGACAATCACCCAAATAATCCATTGCCTTCTAAGAAAACCCTTCATGCTATCTCAAAAATGCTATCCAGAAAAAGACATCATTTATTATTTATGAATATTTTCTATGTAAACACTAAATTTAACATACCAAAACCAACTTACCAAACAATATATTATGGCTAAAGTTTTCTTAGTATCATTTGTGGCTTAAGTGATGGCTGAGTATCAGAGTTTCCTATATATGTCAGTATCCAAACATGCTTACAATAGAGCTCATAGAAAAAATATCAAATAGAGAAATAAACACCCTTAGATTGTATTTTTGGAAGGAAAAGAAAGTGCAAAGTTAATGTATCTTTATTTACACTATAAAAAAGCTTTAAAATTTTAAGATGAACTCTCTAGAAGAATCAGTATAATAGATAGCATTATTTTTGTAACAAGTTTGTTTTCTTCTGTTCCTAGTTCCAATGAAGCACTTATACAAATTATTTGCTAATGGACCTGGACTCTCTTATGTCTGAAACATTAAATTGACAAGTTAAATATTTACATTTCCTCCTTGTGAGAAAAACATGAAGAGAAATTGCATCTTACAGCTAGGTAACTAGTAGCTGTGGATTTCACTGCATAAGACGTGGGAAGAAGTTTAGAAGACAGACTGAAGAGTAAACAAAATAAATATTTTGATTTTTCTTTTTAAGGCATTTTCTGCACTGGTAAAATTAGAAATAACTTTTTTTTAAAAAAAGCTTGGCTTTGGAAGTACATGTTGGAACCCCAGTACTGTTAATGAAGATTCAAAGCATATTATGGAACAACACAAGCAAAATAATCTAAATATAATACCATAAATGTATGGAGTAGCAAGACACATGGATGCCTTCTGGGGATTAATAGAAATGACAGCACGGAAAGCACAGAGAAAGTTATTTCTGCAAAATTGTGCTACAGATGTTTTTAAAGGAGAACATCTTCTAAAAACATTTAAGATTTTATTCCATTATAAAAAGAATGAAAACTTAAATTAGTAATTAGGGGTTTTTTTGCTGGCATACTCATCTGTTAAACATATTTCACCTGTTAAACATATTTGTAGAAAAAGTAATAAAGGCAGACCCCACTGTACATTAAGGGTGGACTCCTGAGAAGAAAGACAGACAGAAATTTGTCAGATAAAGCAATTTTTCCTCATCAGAATAAGCATAACAGATGCATGTAATCACTTACAGAACACATCCTTAAATACAGAGGCAAAGTATGAAGAATGAAGCATGAAGAATGGAAAGGAAGGAGAAAATTATCAGGATTGTCACTGAAGTGCTACTTCTAACTAATACCTAACGATAGACTTATTTCTATGTCTTTCGTTGTGACTGATCTGATTCACCTGAGGATGACAATGAAGATGGTAAAAATTTAACTGTTCAGAAAAGAGGCAGAAGACAATTGTCACGGAAGGGTTTTATCAGGCCTTCAGTTGCTAGAAGAATGGGCTGAGATCTTTCGAAACAATGAAATGCCTGAATTTACTTCAGCTGATGATGCTGGTCCTCCATTTTATACTGTGTGTATATATATATACACACATATATATATACTGTCCTTGTGTAGTAAAATTGTGTGCAGGCATCCACCTGCTGTAATGTTAATGCTTACAGGAAAACTGCTTTACTGTGAAGCACAAGCACTTAATCTATTGCACTAGTAAAGGCTAGGAAGCAGGGTAATGATTAGCAAAGCAACTCTGAAACTATAAATAAAGCAGCAACACATATCAGAGTATTCCTGTCTGAGAAATGCACACACTAGAGAGGCTGACAAAGTTTTGAAGGAAGAATCAATTTAATATAGGATAAAAAGCAATGAAAGGAACCTGCTTGGACGAGCTGATTTAAATGCACAGTTGATGAAAGAAAGCTCATGGCTTTTCATAGGAAACAACATATTCAAAGAGAGATCCAGCACAAGTGCCCTTTCCTTAGTTTATAACAAGGCTACATATCTTCTGTGCACTTTGATAAGACAAGATGAAACAACTCTGGGCTCCAGAGCCTGAAAAACAGCAGTAGCAATTACACTGGTAACTCTCGGACTGGTGTTATCTCTCCTCTGCACCTCCTACATTCTGATTAATCATAAGGGAAGACTGACTAGCTACAACAAACAAAAGAAAACAAAAAATGAGTATTTCACAGTCCCAGAATTCGGGGGCTTTATGTATTTGTCTTTTAAATATTTTGAAGAGCAAAGAAGTAAAACTATTATTGATGTAAAACTGAAATTATTCAATGCTTTCATTTCAGCCCCTTTGAAAATCTAGGAACTACATTTTGGGTTGCATGTAACCCTTTCCTCTTCTGGAGACTATTTTTCTTCCACCTCCATTCTCCTAAAAGTTATGTTTCTAGCCTATGAATTACACACAGAACTGTAGAAATCCTTAAACACTATCTGAAGACAAATAAGCTTCAGATTAAAAAAGTAAATTCCAAAGTAATGGGATGAGTTCATGGCAGGAAAAAACCCAGTTTTTTACCTAGCTCCTCCCCTTGCCATTTCTTCTTGATTTTTGTAAATAAATCTACTTTAGCCCAATTCTCCAATTCCCCAAAAGAAAATGAAGAATTATGCTACTAGTGGTATTTTAGATCAAAACAGGAGAGCATGATGAAGCAGTCTTTCTGCACTTAATTTACTAAGTTGTCCTAAATTAATAATTTGTATATATGAATAATTTTTCATTATTAGAATAATAAGATTTAACCTTTGTAAATAATTGTCTATACACATTTCTTAGTAATGCCTGAAATGGTTTGTTTTGGGGTTGTTTGGGGTTTTTTTTGTCTTTCTTTAGTTGCTGTAACTAGAGTTGTAGTAATGAGGCTATTTTATGAATTATGTTGCAAATTAGGAGAGCAAGAGAAAACAGCCCTTTTCTAGTCTACCTTCATCCTGCTCATCAAACTTAGCAGTTACATTCAGAGCAGGCTTTTCCACAATCACTTCAGTTTTGCTGCTGATTACACATACTCTTTCACTATTAAAACTCTGACCTACATGATTATGTGACCTAGCTGATAAGTACTGTGAAAACAGGAAATAATTTTAAATTATCATTTGGTCTATGTACATAACTTCAATTATTAAGGATTCCCTATTGGAAAGGTTTATATTTTGTAAACCCAAATTTTAGGCAGCGTTACAACGTAAATATGATGAAGTGATATTGCTGTTACTCACTGATACTGGTTTGTCAGTTACTGGTTATCCCAGTACTGTGGCTCTATATGTCATAATGTAGGCATATGTGCCTTCTAAATACAAAAACTGTTAACCAGGACTTCATTCTAGACTAACGCTGTGGTCCTCTTTATTATTAGTCACAGATAAACTTACTTTTTTGTCACGTGTTTTCTTGAGTCTGACCATAAAAATGTAAAATACAGCAAAGGTAAGACTGGCAACATGTAACTCACCTGAATCAATAATCACTACAAGTTACATTTATATATGGTCATATTGATAATGTATCCAAGTCTTATTCTATCTCTTGGACCAGGCAGGAGAAGGAAGGGTAATTACAGGGAACTTCATATGGAAACAGATGTAAAAGTATCTCAGTATTTTGGAAACATGGTATTTCACTGACAAACAGCATTTGCCTGAAATAAGTATGACAAAAAGTATCTTCTAAACCAGAAAAACCTTCATCTATGCAATATTATTTATGAGGCTAAAAAAATAAATTTTATTCATTTATATTAATGCCCAAATGTTTAACCTAGTGATTTCTTTTTCTTTTCCTCATTTGTCCTTAACAAGAAGAGTAGCTATTAACAGGAACCTACATATTTATTAACTTTTGCTTTTAAATAAAAAAAGAAGGTATTATTTTGACATATTTGCAATGATGCTGTTAAAGCATTTCAAATTTATCTAGAATTTATCATTTGCAGACCAAACCTTCAGCTTTTCAAAGATGTTTATGATCAAAGAATGCCAGATCTGAAATTATCAATGTCAGGTTCTTGCATGCATATTCATACAACACTCAGTTTGTAATCCTGAAAAGGCAGAGGCACAATCCAACATGGTTCACAAACTGGAAATCAGGTCAGATTTTATACAGAGGTTATACAGAAGAGGGTTGCCATAGAAATAAGACTAAATAGGAGAAACGAAGAAGTTTAATGAGCACATTGCTTAAGATATTTCATATGCATTAGTGCTTTAACCACATAGAATTAAGTCACTTTTTAGAACATAACCTAATTACACACCAAAAACATTTAATCTGCTTCATTAAGACTTTTACAAGAAGGTTTTTTTAAAAAAGACTACTGCACCTATGAAGAGACAAGAATACACACACAAAACAACACTGGAAAACTCTTAAGCATACATACCTGTGTTCGCAGGATTTCACCTTTTGACAGCTGCATATCCCCAGTCAACTCTTTCACAATAATGCCTAGTGGTTCCAGCCTCTTGCTGAAGTAATTTGTCATTTCAGCTGCCAAAGCCTTCATAGGAGCAACATACACAATCTGCACCAAAAGGACAGTGGCTTGATAAATGACCAAACCCCACAATGTCGTTTGTTTCATGGCAACCATTACAAATCACAATTTATTGTGAAATATGATGCCAGGCACTTACAGTGAAAAATCTTAATAGTGATATATGAAAAGTAGTTATCTTTGTTGGATAAGTGTGCAGCTGTTGAAAGGACAATGGATTTTGTTTATACAGCCTCATCACTTTGAAAATTGGTTCTGCATCAAAGCTGAACGTGTTTTCATAGCTTTTTAGTCCCATAATAAGATTTTTAGAACACAAATAAGAATAGCTTTTACAGTAATACAGTAAATCAAAACTAGCCTTATCTTTGACTTGGAAGACTGTAATACCCTTGAAAAATTCCTGATTTCATATCCCATGTATAGCATATAACAGGTTTTACCTTCCAAGTTAAAAAGCTGTTACTTGGTTCATTAAACTCCTACCTTAAACTCATCCTTTTTGATAACACCATGCTGGACATGCTGGCGAATTTCATGAAGGACTGTCAGCATAGCAATGTTGGTCTTGCCAGCTCCAGTGGGGGCACAAATCAACATGTTCTCATTGGTATTGTAGGCAGTCTCAAAAACTATAGACTGGATTCGGTTCAGTCTTTTCGTGCCTTTAAAAGCAAGTTGTCCAATCTGTTAAAACAAACGACACACATATTTTAGGGTTTTCATATATATACGTGTATGTGTTTGTACATATATATATTTTAAATAAATAAATAAATAAATAAGACATGGTAGTAAAACAGGATATTTGTTGAAATATATTTCTTAATTCAATATTTTCATTCTGAGGATACCATCCCTTCACAAGATTCAAATCCTGAACCCATAAGGAAAATAAAATCTAGCAGGATAATATCTTTTAATCAAAATTTGCATGCTATTTCAGCATTTATTTTCTTTTTACTCAAGAGTGTGACCAAAATTAATATACAGTAAAATAACAACCTATTAATAATTAAACATTGGTAAGACAGCAATGGTCAGATTAGAAGAATACACATTTTTAAATCTAAAATGACAAACTGGAAGAAGAGGCAGCAATATACAGGAACTGCTGAAAAAACAGATTATTAAAAAAATTATTTATGATTCATTTTGCACAATAAAGCTTAATTATGCATACACACACAGAAATTCAGTAACAACTTTCTCTTTGCTTCTGAGGAAAGCTTCATCTTGCAATTGTTTATGTCCAGACCTTTCTCCAACAACACAACAAACTGCAGCCTCCAAGTGGAACATAAAACTTGTGTGTGTAGAACCAAGTAAGCTTAAAGACTGTTTAAAAAAAAATTAAATTATATAGCTAATATAGGCAACTGCAGTTATGATAGCTTACTGCATGCTCAAATCTTATAAAGTACAAACTATAAGTTTTAAAAATATTTGTTTTCTTCTTCTTGGTCTCTCTGAATAATGAGATTTTCACCAAGAAAGAACCTGTGTACACAGTTACAATTTCTGCATTTAAAGATTCTAAAACTTCTGCCACTGAACAACAGGCCATTTATAAAGCAAGTGAGTTTTCTAATCAACTTGCTTTTTCTTAGTTACTTTTCATAGATCCTTAAAAGAGACTGCAGAACACAGAAGTATTTCCTTTCAACTGACTTAATTACCTAGACTGCTTCTACTAATAATAACAAAAAGTATCTTACTGATATTTTTTACAATTACCTCTTGTAACAGTAGAAAACCACAAAAGCACAAATTCACTGTAAAGAACAGTCATGAAAGAATCTTCTGAAGATCTCCCTTTCTACTATTCTGGGTGCTTTAGTTAATTTCCAGTAATTTCTGTGGTAATAGTCTCTCCAATACTAATAATATTCTTTTCAATTCTAAGCAAATTATTTGACACATCTCAAATATATTCAAATATCTATTCTAAACTGCTACAAGTCTAGTGAAGAAAAAACCCAAATGTATCTAATGCAAGTACTTCCAATACTTTTCATCAAGTTTCTTTAAAGTGGCTGAATTTCAGGATGACAAAGTTTGCTCTAATGCTCTTCCACAGTTCCATCTAACTGGTTTTAGAAGCTATTATCAACACCATAAAGTTCACACAGGTAAACACTGAATACAGTGGGATCTATAGAGAAAAATTCACAAACACAACTGGTGACTGTGGAACTGAACTAATAAAACACTACATTGCACAATTTATACATTATTTCTAGAAGCAGCTTTCAAACAAAAGCAGAAACATAGTTATCCAAATGAACTCAGGTGTAAGTGTCTTCTGAAAAAAATGACAGGAATTTTTCAGTCACATAGCTGAGTTACACATACAGGTCTCTTTACAGTTGCATGATTGTTAATAAATTTAAATAATGAAGTGTTTTCTAAAACTGCTTCCAGGAATATACTGTTCCATCTTCTCTTAATCTTGAAGTTAGAAGTGCAAGACATCCTTTTCCTCTAAATTTGGAAGAAATTGCATATGCTAAAGCCCTGGGACATGTAACCGTTAGCAAAAATAAATAAATAATTTATAAACTAAAATTTGTCCTGTCTCTTTTCCTACTGTAAAGGAGTAACACCAAGGATTGACTTGGTAAACAGCAATAAATAAAGATATGTTCCAGAAACACCAGAGAAAGCTGTGTAACAAACTAGAAAAACAAACCTCAGCTCACTCACTGAAGGATGCTGAACTAACTGAAATAGGAACATTAAGAGTGGAATAAAGGTTAATAAAAAGTCAAATTCTATAAAAGCCTGGGTAAGGACTAGAAGTATTTTTTTAAATAGTGGTATTCTGACCAGAGTCTAGTCTTTCATGAAACACATCAATTAATTTCCAATCAATTCAAAAGAAAAATGCAGGCACTGACAAATCAATACCAAACATTCACAGTCACAATACTCAGTCAATGTATATAATAGTCTTTGTAGGGAGACTCTACAGAAACATAAGGATTAAAAAAGCTACAAGAGAAATGAATTCCAGAGAAAAAGAGTATCTTAAGACATCTTCAAACCAGCTCCACATTTGACTGAAAAAAATATTGCAATTACCCTTCCTCAAAACTTCATTTTATGCCAAAATACAAGTACAGCTTAAGTGCATAATCTAAAAGAAGTTGTTCTGCCATTAAAAATCAGTCAGAAAAAAAATGGACATGGGAGAGAAATGCAAGTGTGCACAGCAGTCCACAGGTCGGCAAACATACTACATTTTTTAAAATTGTTTTTAATTTGTTCTTTATACAAACTACCTAGTTTGAAAACCAAAAAAACATTTTTTCCCCTCTGACATACTAACGAGAGTTGAATTCTACAGATCAATTATTTTTCAGACAAGCCAGTGAAATCCCTACTTGCTTAAAGGAGTGGTAGCCACTGGATGGCAGAATCTGTTTGGTTTTGGTTTTTTTTTACTGAAGGTGAATGAGATGCAACATTCTTAAGCTTTCTGGTCCACAGGTGATTTATCCCTAGAACTCTACACAAACCAAAGTTATACAAAGAATACAGTTTGAGCACTATTCTCAACAAACACATTTTCATACCAGTTTTACACATGAATCCATGTGAAAGGCCACCGAGAAGCAACTCTTTCCACAAACCAGATGATGATACTAAAGGCAGCTCTGATAAGACTTTATAAAATTCTTATTTTTACTTCAGTAAGATTTCCAGTTCTTCCCCAAGGAACTTACTGTTACAAACAATGGACTTATGAGTAAATGAGATTGCACTTAGTGAAGACTTGCTAAAACAATCTTCTTGTTAAAAAGGTAATTGTGTGTTGATGGTCTAACAGCAACTTAAAAACAGGACTAAACTGCTAAAGCCATTGAAGACTCATCCATGGATAAGTTCATACAATTCAGTCTTCAGGCAAGCTACAGCTCAGCAACACAACTGCTTTCACAACATGGTCTTAACAGTGTCTGTTCTAAACACAGCACAGTCCATCAGCACTTCAGTGTTTGTCACACAATTAATTAACCAGACCTTGCAGTTCTACAGAGTTTATGAATATGACACAGAAAATACTCACTTTTTTCTCCAAGCATACTTCTGAAACCTGCTATAGCACTCTCCCCTCACCCAAAAGAAAAGGGTGCTAACTGCAAGTTGTGAGTGCTCTTCAACAAATCAACTTTAATTAGAGAAGAAGCAGCCTCCGTTCAGTGGAAATCCAAAATAGTTCAGTTAAAAAACAAAATGCAGTGACTGTAATATCTTAGTCTTATCCTCACTGTGGTAACATAAGCACTTCCTGAATTACACAGTCAATTAAAAAAATAAAGAATAAAAAAAGCTATGTCTGTTTGGTTTAGGTTTTTTTGGGTTTATTTTAAAAATGTCTTATCATCTGCTATGTTGAAGAAAGAAGAGAGGTTGATTCAAAAGCAAGAGTTTTTAGGGAAAATATTTAACTTAATACATGACAGCTAAGAGCTAAGGTGCCTGATGTAACAAAAAATCTTTGAAGTCTATAGATACATTGCCACCAACATTATCTAAACTAGTCTCTTGACAAGGTATGCTATACTAACAGCTGCAGCAGTCATACCTTTTCTATAGATTTCTGAATTATTCAAGCCCTGATTTATATAAAAAATACAACTTTGAGAGATTTGCTTTGGTTCAATGTAGAGAATAAAACCACAGACTTCTGCATGTATAAACCCAAAATGTGTTTGATGGAAATGATGAAAAAGCACCACAGCTCCAAGGCTTTCACTGTTTTGACTGAGAACACTGGAACAGCTTGGGGAATCTCCTTCTCACACAGGGAGAATTGTTGTGTTCCTCAGCCTAGTTATAATATGACAAAAGATTACAGACAGAATGATTATATCCTCTGGTGATTCCATTTGAGGAAAAGGAAAACAACAGGTTTCAGAACGATTTTTCATAAAAGCAACTATTTCTACAGCGCAACAAATGTACATAAATTTTGGCATCCAAATAGACACAAAGGAGAGAGTCTGATTTCAGTGACACTACTGCAAACTCAAAAGCATCTGAAGTCAAGAAAATTATTCCAGATAATAGCAATGAAATGGAGATCAGAAAAGAGCCTCCTCTTGGAGCTTTCTACAGTGATTTGTGAATTACACACAAAAATTACCTTGAAGCATGCAGCCAGTAGGAAACTAGCAAAATGAAAACTGGTGACAGTTGTGGCATTTCCTAATAATATCAGAAGTTTAAATTGTATGAAGACAGAAGGACTTGATCTTAATTTCTTCATGTTTCATCCATATTAACAGTATCAAGAGTGTTTCTTTCCTAATAAATAAAGTTTCAAGTTCTTGTAAAGAACTTAATGCTATCGAAAACTAAGAGTGTGAAAGAGAGAAGTAAGAAAATCTCTACGAAGTTTAACAATTTTTAGATGTTGTTACCCTAAACAGCAAGGTTCCTCCTGAACTGCTATGTATTTAGACCTCCATTACTCCCAACTCCCAGACTCTTGGAAGATGAAGCTATGAAGAAACTGATGTTTACATGCCACAGCCTATTCTGCAGGTTTTGCTTTTTTTTTCTATTCAGAGAACACTCATCATTTCTCATGCCTTTACACAACTAAACCAAACTCCCAGCTCTGCTGCTCCCTTAATTTATTCCCCAGGCAATCTCGTGCATCTTGTTAAAAGGAAGTC